TATAAGGAAACACTCTTTGTTTTTTTCTTTTAATGGGTCGTTTTTGGAGGAAAGAGTGCTGAAGGTGGAGTTCATGCAGTACATATTTGCAAAAGAAGGCAAGATAAAAGTTGTAAACCCTGCATATTATTGAAAGTTGGCAAGATCTATCGTTTTACTTTATTCATATAGTCCTGCTTTAAAGGARCCTTTTCTTGTTTTGCCTGCAAGTTCTACCCTAATAGCAGAAAACTCTATGGGGAGCAGAGAGATGTTGATGTTGCCTTCATTTAGTAGCTTTAATTTTCATGATTCCCACCTCTACCTGTAGTGATTGGTTGAGACAGACAGCACTGAAAGAGGGAAGGTCAAAAAGAAAAGGAGGAAGAACCAAAAAGACAGTCTCTGCAAACATGCTAATCAATATAATCCCAGGAGAAGCACATTTCATTCTATTATGAGATCACAAGTTTCATAAGAAAAGAGAATTGTACAAAACCCATTTGGATTCAAACTATAGAATATTCTGATAAGGAAATACATCAGTAAAGGACTTTAGGGGACTGGGTTCCAACTGAAATGCTGATGAGGAAGAAGAGCAGCACAGTCCCACCACTGCCGTGTGACAGTGTGCATGCTGCCCTTAGTGGTGCTCATGTAGAGACACCTTTTCTGGGGCGAATCTCTGAGCAGCAGGGTATAGCTACTGGTATTCTAAATGATAGATGATGATAAATCATTGATAATAAATCTGACCCAGATAAAATATAAAACCGGTTGATAGGAATGATGCAGAGATTAATGGCAAATACAGGACATTCCCCAGAAAAATACTGTGGATGTGATTTGGGCTTGGGAAAAGAGAAATAGTGGGGGTAGCTGAGTAGAGGAATGGCTTAAGCAGTGAGAAATTCAGAGATTCTCTGTTTATCTCAAAGAAGATGAGGAGTTAGCTTGGTTACAATAGGCACATACCCTTGCAGGAAGAACATATATGATGCTGAAAGACTGTTTTATCAGAGAGACGCTAAAAAAGTCACTGCAGAGAGCACTGACCGAGAGCTATATGCAGTCAAGTTATAAATTAGATCCAATTTTTAAAAGAAATTCTCAATATCTGTTAAAACACTATATCAGAGGTATATTTTTCCTCACCTGATGTCTTTAATCAAGACTTTAATACTTGGGTTGAACTATATATCATGCTTAATCTGTCTTTAGTCTAACTAATAGTGATAGCTGTAGCGATGAAAGCATGACAGCCCAGATTTAATCATGTACTGCACAAGCCTTGTAAGAAATCTGTGCATATGCTTCAATCTCTAGCTCATGCAGCAGTCCCTAGCAGTACTAATAGTACTGCAGATCAAACCTTGCCTATGAGTACCTCAGTACAACCCTGCCTTCATTTYGCTTCATTTAGACACAGATGGAGGTAAGAGTGAAAAAGAAAGGGAATATCTGAGCTGAGGGTAACTTAAAAATAACAGTAGGAAGCTCACACTTGAAGGCTTTTGTAGGGATTCARGAACTATTGCATTTGAAGCATTTCGGATGAAAGATGATTTGACAAGTATAACAGGGAGACACTAGCAGTGCTAGAGACCAAAGAAGAGGAGTTTGCAGTTAGCAGAAGAGAGAATGAGAGGTGTCATGTTCAGTTGAAGGCAAAGTAGACCTATGAAAAGTTATGAAAAAGGAAATGGCAGAATCCTGTTTCTTAAAAAAAAAAAAAAAAAAAAAATTGTTAGCCTAGTATGTAAAATACAAAGTCATTTTCCTTTCATTCACAATAACTGCTACATTCTGCTCTGTCGTTCAAACTTAAAACACCAGGAATGTCCCAGTCAGAAATAACTGAGCAGATACCTTGATTCTGGTTTTCTGGTTTATCTTGCCCTGGTTTTCTCTGCATCATTTCTGGCACTGCAGGTGTCAGCACTGGGATTTCAGTTTCATATAGATGGCCAGAGTTCAGATTGATTTTGCCTTTTGTTTCAATGATCATAAAGATTTAACATTTTAAAAAGAGGAGCAGGATCTAGATCCCTGTTGAGATTTGTAATGCCCCTGTCCAAGAGGTCTCTTGGATCCAGGATTTCTTCTCAGGTCCCTCATACATTTTTACAGATATTCAAAAGCCTATAATAGCACATGCAGAGCTTATATTAATTTCCAGTGCCTAAATCCCTTAAGTGATTCTGTGATTTCCCTCTTAATCCTCATTTTAATTCAGAAACCTAGAGGTAGGTTTGAGACCTTCGGGATTTATTCATTTTGTTGGTTGTTTTCCAACCAAAGAATCTTTCAAGGGTAACAAGTGTAAGTGCTAAACACACAAAGTTCATAAACAGTWGTTATTATCACAGTAATCTGCCAGTCTTCTTGGCAAATAAAGGAGAGAAAATATGGCTATTATTAATAATTACACTACTTAAAGTAATTTGTAAACACATACTAGTATCAAATTCAGGAAAAAGTGGTAAATCCTGATTAAACAACTTAAATCCTTTTGTTTCCATGGGCAAAATAACTTTATTAATATTAATGAAGCCACAAAGTGCTGTTTAACTGACAGCGTTTTTGCAGTTACTGTATTTCATTTCTGAAGCASTTTATTTTCCATGTCTAGACATGAAAAAAATGAATGAAACTATTACAAATTTTTCTTTTTTGTAAGTAACATGCATTTTCTTAATGATGGATGCATTGCCATAGAAGGGGAGTGTCCAATGCATTTCTTTTGCAAGATGCTTATTTATTCTGAAAAACTGATCAGCCTCCAGGATATCCTTTTGCCATAAAATTGATTTAACATCTCATCCATTATAAGATGTGGAAAGAGTGTCGTGTCTCACCAAAAATAAAAAAATCAGACTTCATCACAAGCATGCAACAGGATCTGTCATGGATTTACTTGCGGGATATAAAATTGTCATAGTATACACATAGTATACACAGTCATGCACATTTCCACCAGAGCAGGCCTAAGGAGAAAATGTGATCAACACTGTGATCTAGCTCCTGAGGATATTTTATTTTAAAAGTATAAAGAGTGGCCTCTATAATGAGAAAATTCATATCACGTCTTAAAAAACAGCATGAGTTTACAAATGTCATTTGTTATAATAAATAAAGATGGCTTGTGGGCTACATTGTGGTGCAACTGAAATGTCTTTATATATGTCAGATTTTTTTTCCTTCAGCATCTCCCCGTTTTAAGCTTTATGAAATGTGCAAAATTATACTTGCTTGAGATTTGTGTGAGAGAGTTGGGAATTGTGAAATGAGAGAGAGAAAAGGAAGCTGACACATTTTGTGATAAGGCAGTTACAGCAACAGTATACAAAACCATCAGACAAATATTTTCAGACAATATGTTCAGAAGGAAACAACAAAGCAGGAAGGAAAAAGAATGGGACATGTAGCACATTTAAGCCTGGCCTTAATTGTTAAGTGCTAAGACATCTCTGGGATGCTAGGTATCAAGAGTCCATCTGTATGTGTATTTGGGTAGTGCTCACCATGGCTGAAACTGCTATTCCACCACTACTGTAGTGCAAATGTTTGCATTTGTTTTTGTTATAATACCATTTAATATAGCCTCTCATACAATATACCTTGTGAAAGTGCCTCCTCCATCAAGCTGTTTGCTAACAAGTACAAATGAATTAGCAGATCACTGTTAAGTAAAATAAACATAATATTTTTAAAAAGGCTAGAAAAACTGTTAAGAGAAGATACAGGAGAGCAAATTGGTGATTTCATTTGATATCACTGGAAGAGAAAACACCCACTCCATTCCTCCAGTCTAAATTTCCCTGGCTTTCTGAATAACAGAATCTACCCTTGGGACTTTTATATTGCTGCTTTTCATTAAAGTTTAGTTTCTTTAGCACRACAATGAAATATGATTTTCAATGGTTCTTATGCAAGTGGCAATGAGGCTTGAAAGAGTTCAAAATGAAATTGCAAAAGATGGTGTTTGTGTTCCAGTGTCATGTCCCCCTTATTCTTTACATATGAGTGCCGCTTTGCATCTAAAAATCAAGGCTATTTTATCAGTCTTCCTTATAAAGCCAGTCAAAGTTGCTCACCAGTGAGATGTCTTTCAGAATCTGGAGTATATCAAGACGGCATGGCTTTAGAACAGCATAAGATAGACCTGTTTTACATTATTGACTTTTCCTTTTACCTGCAGAGACATAGGAATTAATGCAGCATTGATGGGCAAAAGATTTTCTGATGTATCAAGATAGATCTCTTCATTTTAGAGTAAAAAAAAAAATGCATCAAACAATATATATGCATCAGTTCAGGTCGCAGTTGCAGTTCAACCTAAGGGATAGACAATTGTTTTACTCTGCAGAAGACACTACTTTGGGATGAAACCTTATGTAAAGAATCATAGACCTTAGGAAAACTGAAACTGGGCCAACTGGTATAAATGGATTAAGGATCTACKGGTAGACTCTTAAAACCCATGTAGGTAAACAATCATTGTGCGATTTTTTTTTACAGCACTCTGTATTAATAAAGTCCACCGATSATTTCTATAAATATGATTTTTGAGTTTTGAGAAATGAGTTACGTAAAGTTGCCATCTCCAAGTAAATTCAGTAATATTTTCCACAGAGAATTTGTTATATACAAAACTGTCTGAATAGAGTACTTGCATTAATAAATTCTGCAAAGCAGAACTGCATGTTTTAGCCAACACCTTTCTTGTATGAATACATAGGAGAAACTCACCCGGAAGTACTTGTGTTCCTAAATGGACCAAACACCAAAGCCCTATTTTTAATAATGATGTGTATTTTATTTCACTGAAGAAATGTGTCATAATTAACTGCAAAATTATTGTGTTAATGATCAGATCATATAATAAGATGCMTAATTAGAAGAATTATGGAATTTTAAAGGAATGAGGAGGGCAAGAACTCTTCTGGTATATGGCTCTTTATGATTGTAATCTGCTGTCTATATTCCTATTAAGTTTTATGTTTTGGGTTGTTTTGCAGTTTGTGTTCTGCCGTGAATGTAAAGACGAGTACCATGAAGGGGAATGCAGCTCTGTCCTCGGTGCGCAAGGAGCTGTGGCCCGGAAGGTAGGAAGTCCCATCACTCATTACATCCTTGGCCCAGATAAAGCAGCATTTGTCAAATGGGGCCTAATTACAATCCTAAGTAAAAGCAGTTACGCTCTTGTTGAATTACTGCAGCCACTAGAGCTGCCAAATTGGCTTTTCTGTGGATATCAGACACTTTGATTGATAGAGCAGTTGAGGTCTGTCAGAAACACACACTGCTCTGCCATCAGTCTATAAAGGAATGGCCTTCCCAAAGGGTTTTTGAGGTTGTCTCCTATTCAATATGAGCATCTTTGAAATTCTTTCTGTAGTCTTGCTGCCATTCAGCTTATATTCAGTGCACTTGTCAAGAATGCATATGGGTTTGGAATGAATAGTAGCATTTTTTTTTCAATATACCCTAGGCTGAAAATGTTGTTGGTAGTTTATATTTTAGCTTGGAGAAATAAAAAACAAATTTCCTAGGCTGGAAGCTGATAGGTGGTCGTTACTCCAATTGCTCTATAACTTTGTACCTATTGTAAATAGACCTGGATAGAAAATAGCTTTTASCGAGCATTTTTTTGTTTATTTCTTTTGATATTCCATTTGCTCTCTTCTCCATGAAAAATAAACCACAGTCCTTCAAAAGAAAGGGGCCTGGGAAGAGTGCAAGGAATGAGAGAGATTGTGCCTAACTATTTCATATATTGATGACTGGGGTGCCCCCAAGGAAACAGAAAACCAAGACTCCTATGTCTGACATATCTGATGCTGTGAGGAGTTTTGACCGCTGAGTCCTCACAGAGTCCATTGCGTAGACRTGGGCCTGTGGACTGATGATGAAGGAGACTTGTGGCCAGCATTGCACCAGCTCATGTGCGGGGCTGCAGGCAAGTTCTCTTTGGAGCTGGATCTTATGTAGGGACCAGGAGGGAGCTGGAGCCCACTGTGAAGCTCTAGCATGTGTTACCATTAGATGCTTCATTTACCATGCTTTTGGAACCCTGCACTAGGCTATGCCCCGCRTGGAGGCTGCTCTCTTTAACCTTTCTTCTTGAAGCTCTTTCTTCTGTTTTGCACAAAGAATTAAACATTCATTGAGCCAGAATTAAACAGCCCGTAGCTTATTGCCTTATGACATCCACCCCTGGTGCCCTGGAACGTGAAAACTGCCACGCTATATGAGACCCAGAATTCATCTAGCTCACTACCCTGTCTCTCACAGCTAGACATCAGGCACTGATGCGTAGAGAAGAGTGCAAGAGTGTAGTGATGCCCCATTTCCTAAATACTTTTCCAGCCTCTAGTGATTTGTGACTCAGATGTGATATTTCGTGTTTAGCCACCAGCTAATTTTTATTCCATGTATTTCTGCAATCCCCTTTTTGAAGCTGTGTGCGTTTCTAGGATTCACTGTATTCTGGGACAGTTTCACAGCTTAACTGTGCTCGATGAAGAAAGATCTGCTTTTCTTTGCGGTAGCCATACAACACTGTTCCAGCTACCACTTATGTAAAACATTTTCAATAGAGGAACTGAGAGAGATATAAACTAAAATCATCAATAGCCTTGATAAACCTGCAACCAAGGTTTGATGCCTTCTTTGAATTAAGTAGAGATAAAACTTTAGTATGTCTCAACATGAACAGTGAGCACTATTCCCACTATGCCATTGATGGCCATTAAAAAAGTGTCATTTGAAATTTTCAAAGAAGATTTTGCAAAGTTTTAATGGAAAGTAGCCACGTCTATATTAACTAACTTATCCATCAGTCAGTCAGARAAGTTGGTCCTAAAGAGGTGAATTACGCTCAGTAAAGTATTTATTCAGAGCTCAGCGACAGCTTGTCATTATTTGCCATGTCTAATTGACTGCCAGAGCAGGGAGATAGTTCCTGTGGTCTCTTGATGGTCACCTCCTCTTTTCTCCTTGCCACCTCCTCTTTCCTCCACGAGTCAGTCACTGTGGGAAGGGCAGTCCCACCTCCACATGGCTGAGTCCTCCTGAGGCTGCTATCCAAGCTCGTCTGTCTTCTTTTAGCTGTCAGCAGACAATGGCAAGGTCATCTCAGCCATTACCCTTCATCTTGGTGATATTTAAAAGCAGTCTAGTGTAGGTTATTGATGGCTTTTACTAATCGTGGCACCTTGTAACTGACTTCAACAAACTTGGCTATATGGAAGTTAGAGTTTGTATGATTTGCATGCTCTAGGGAAAGAAATAAAGGTGTACCAGGAAAAGTCAGAAAACATTAGAAGGATGGAAAGTTAACTGGTATAGCTGTCCCAGTGTGAACACAGCAGCTGTTCCTGAGAAACTTCCTGAATTGCTCTTCCAGAAAAGCTAAGTGATAATCCCAGAATACTTGCTGCAAAAGTCAGTTCCCCAGACAGAGAAGGCCATAAACTACTCAGAATTCATTTAGACTCCAGCGTGAATTGGATCACTGTTTTCAGCCAGCCCACCTTTCCTCTCCGACTGAGGAGGCTGCCGCCGTTCATTTTCCCCACAAGGTGGTGGTGTGCTACTGACGGACAGATTTTCCTTTCCTTTCCTTTCCTTTCCTTTCCTTTCCTTTCCTTTCCTTTCCTTTCCTTTCCTTTCCTTTCCTTTCCTTTCCTTTCCTTTCCTTTCC